TTTTTAGGAGAGAGAGACAGCGTGAGCAGGGGAGGCTCAGAGAGAGAGGGAGTCACAGACTGAAACAGGCTCCAGGCTCTGAGCTGGCAGTCAGCACAGAGCCCGACGTGGGGCTCGAACCCACGGACCGCGGGATCATGACCTAAGCGAAAGTCGGACGCTTAACCTACTAAGCCACCCAGGCGCCCCTAAAAATACCCTGTTTTTAGAGATGGGAATCTGTCTCAGAGGGTTCAAGAAACACTGCATTTACTTATTTGCAATAAGTCAACATAACCCTCTGTCTTGCTAGGTTGGTAGAAAATACAACTGCCTTCTATGTTATCTACTTAGTCCAAGAAAAATTACTTTTTAAACTCTATTTTCCTTCTTTTTTTTTTTGAAGTTTTTATTTAATTGTTTTGAGAGAGAAAGAGAGAGCACAAGCAGGGACAGAGAGAGAGAGGGAGAGAGAGAATCCCAAGCAGGCTCCGCACTGTCAGCACAGAGCCTGATGCAGGGCTCAAACTCACAAACCATGAGATCATGACCTGAGCCAAAATCAAGAGCTGGACACTCAACCGACTGAGCCACCCAGACACTCCAAAAATACTGTTTTCTTTACTGGACTTGAACTTTGGAGAAGAAAGGCCAGGAGTCTTCTCGTGAATCTCTGCTGACGCAGAGAAGCAGTCTGTTCCCTGCTCAATTAAGGGGAGAAAATAGGGAAAATACTGGCAAATGGAAGTTAGTGTCTCAAAAGAGTTACTTTGCCAAGCCACAACCACATGGCAAGGAGAGACAGCGAGGGTCCAGGATATAAGTTCAGGGCTCGCTTTCTTGGGGCCTCAACTGTCACATCTGTAAGAGGAGCAGGCTGGCCCCCCACTCCAGCCTGCTGCGTTCGCTGCAGCGAGCTGAGAGCAATCGGAAAGCCATTCCCTCTCACAGCCTGCTCTTAGAAGGGGGAGGATGTTCAGGGGATTCATGCTTCCGTCTCTCCTCCTGCCCCCCGCTCCCAGACCTGGCCATAAGGGACACCTTTGTGAATGCCTCTCAGAACCTGTACGGCAGCAGCCCCGCCGTCCTGGGAAATGACAGCGATGTCAATACGGAGCTCATCAACAGCTGGGTGGCAAAGAAGACCAATCACAAGATCACGCAGCTTCTAGACAGCCTGCCCTCTGACACGTGCCTTGTCTTCCTCAACGCCGTCTACCTGAATGGTAAGGGAGCCTCAATCCACGCGGTCCTTCTGTACTGAGTCCTTTCTCTCTTCCTGGCTTGGAAGCCCGTGAGACCCCAGGTTCCGCTGCTGGACCCCACTGTGCCTGCCCTGCATACAGGGCGGCCATTTTAGCTCCTCTTTATCCTTTGCACACCTGCTTAGAGTAATTCTCCTTCCCTTTCCCTCCAGCCAAGTGGAAGAAAACATTTGATCCAAAAAGAACCAGGCTGGAGCCCTTTTACCTCAAATCCTCTGTGATAAAAGCGTTCATGATGAGTAGCAAGAAATACCCCGTGGCCCATTTCACAGACCCAACTTTGAAAGCCAAGGTATGTTCCTGGCCCTTTCCACTCTCGTTTCAGAGCCTCTGGCCTATCCTGATATCTGTTATGCTACAGCCGTGGTCAATTTGGGGCATACTGTTATTAACTCATCATTTCCACCCCTTCCATCTGTATTTCCGCCTTACCTTTTCTGCTCTTCCCCTCTCTAGCTTGGCTGAGGCAGGCATAGTTTATTTTAGGCTGGAAAGCAGGACTCTGAAAGTTTCTTCATCTCAACTGCATCAAATGGCAAAAAGTGAGTCTGTTCATCTGTTTCTTTTTCTCATCAACCCACTGGGAGACCCTGGTGGCTTAGTTACGTCCTGTGTGTATATGCGTGCCTGTGTACGGCATGCATACGTAGGCGTACACGTGTATAGCTAGGTAAAGCTGTGTGTGCATATATGTGGTAAGTGCACGTGCGTGCATGTGTTAAAGGGCTTATGGTCCTTAGCAGAAATTGAACAGTAAAATTTCAATGGGTGGGAAGGGAAGGAAGATTGAATATGGAACCCAGAATTTCTAGTTGTTTCTTTTTTTTTTTTTAAGAGAGAGAGACCAGGGGGAGGGTCAGAGAGAAAGGGAGAGAGAGAGACTAAAAGAGAGATGGGGGGGAATCCCAAGCAGGCTCTGCACTGTCAGCATGGAGCCCAATGTGGGGCTCAAAGTCACAAACCATGAGACCATGACCTGAGCCAAAACCAAGTCAGACACTTAACTGAGTTACCCAGGCACCCCCAGATTAAACTCCTTTAAACCATTTGTTCCATTTACAAATATGGTTAATTAATATTTCCGTAAGCAATTTGAGCTTATACAGATATTTTGCTTTATAAAAATACTTTGTAAGTTTAACTTGATTTTCTTTTTAAGCATTCCAGATCCCCATCAGGGGTGAATTACAACCCCCTTGTTGGCTATACCTTTCCAAGCACCTAAATCCCACTGTAAAGTAAAAATTGAATTTGAAGGGTAAATCAACTTTCTACCAACATCTGAATGTCATTCTCAGATTTAATTATCCTACATCTTTTTGCTTAAAAGCATAAAACCAGGATGTCTGATTTTCTTATTTATTTTCTATTATATTTTTAATGTTTATTTATTTTTGAGAGAGAGAATGGGATAGAGCATGAGCAGGGGAGGGGCAGAGAGAGGGCGGGAGAGAAAAAGAATCTGAAGCAGGCTTCACACTGTCAGCCCATAGCCCAATGTGGGGCTCGAACCCACAAACTGTGAGATCTTGGCCTGAGCTGAAGTCAGATACTCAACCGACTGAGCCACCCAGGTGCCCGGATATTTGATTCTCTTAAAAATTGTAAACACCAGGGGTGCCTGGTCGGGCTCTGTGCTGACAGCTGGCTCGGAGCCTGGTGCCTGTTTCAGATTCTGTGTCTCCCTCTCTCTCTGACCCTCCCCTGCTCATGCGGTTTCTCTCTGTCTCTCTCAAAAATAAATAAAATATTTAAAAACAAAAAATTAAAAAATTAAGAAAATTAAAAAAAATTGTAAACACCATTTTGAATAAGGAACACACCAACCACCCTTGAATATACTCTAATGTTAATACTGTGGAGTTGGTTTACTTTGTTAAACCCGTACTTAATTCTAAGGGACTCCAGAGCATTTAGTCAACTAAGGAGGTTAGATTTACCAATTCAGGTATCCAAGGGTTACTGGCTTGAAAATTCAAGACCACAACATGGTAATCTTATGGTCAAACATTCAAGGTCTGTACACAGGATGGGTATACATTCCCAGATGAGTCTGCCCTATTCAGTGCCTGTGCCAACAGGGACCCTTTGTTCGTGTTCTTCAGCTGATATCTGTTTCCTGCCAGTTTCTTGTTTTGCATTCCAACAATCGATTGGTTTCCATTAGTTTCTTTACTGCCCAGTTGAATGCTGCATTCTAGATTCTTCTTATTCCTGTCCCAACCTCAACCATGGTGCCCTTGTAATTATAGTCTCTTATATTCCTATTAGCCCATGGTTTCTCAGCCTTAGCACTATTGGTATTTTGGGTTAGAGAATTCTTTGCTATGAGGACCTATCCTGGGTATTGTATAGGATTTAGCATCATCCCTGTTTTCTACCACTAGAAGCCAGCAGGACTGTGGGTCCCCTCCCTTCCAATTGTCACACCCAAAATGTCTCTAGACATTGTCAAGTGTCCACTGGCGGCAAATTCACCCGGGGTTGAAAACCCCTATATTAGACCCATGGGTCCTGTGCTTGTGTCATACTTCTGTCTGACCACCAGTTGGAAGTCCTTTCTTTTAATGGCAAGCTTGAAAGCTAGGCTAGGATCATCTTGGACACAATCTCGAATGCCACACTAAGAAATGTATACTTAATCTCATTGGCAGTAAAGAGCCAACAAAAGTCTTTCAAAGGACTGGGGTGCCTGGCTGGTTCAGTCTTTGGAGCATGCAACTCTTGATCTTGCAATCATGGGTTCAAGCCCCATGTTGGGTGTAAAGATACTTAAAAAATTTTTTTTTTAATTTTTAATGTTTATTTTTGAGACAGAGAGACAGAGCTTGAGTGGGGGAGGGGCAGAGAGAGAGGGAATCACAGAATCTGAAGCAGGCTCCAGGCTCCGAACTGACAGCATAGAGCCTGATGTGGGGCTTGAACCCATGAATTGTGAGATCATGACCTGAGCGGAAGTCAGCCACCCAACTGACTGAGCCACCCAGGCGCCCCACCTTAAAAATTTTTTTAAAGTCCTTTAAAGGACTTATCCGGGGCACCTGGGTGGCTCTGTCCATTAAGCCTCCGACTTCACCTCAGGTCATGATCTCATGGTTTGTGAGTTTGAGCCCCCACATTGGATCTTCTTTTGTCAGGATGGAGCCTGCTTTGGATCCTCTGTTCCCCTCTATCTCTACCCGTCCCCTATTTTCTAACTCTCCCTCTGTCTCTCTTTCTCTTAAAAATAAATAAACTTGGGGCGCCTGGGTGGCTTAGTCGGTTGAGCGTCCGACTTTCACTTAGGTCATGATCTCGAGGTTCGTGGGTTCAAGCCCCGCGTCGGGCTCTGTGCTGACAGCCAGCTCAGAGCCTGGAGCCTATTTCAGAGTCTGTTTCTCCCTCTCTCTCTGACCCTCCCCTGCTCACGCTGTCTCTCTCTCTCTCCTAGAAATAAGTAAAAACAAACAAACAAACAAACAAACTTTTGGGGTACCTGGGTGGCTCAGCTGGTTAAGCCTCTGACTTCAACTCAGGTCATGATCTCCCAGTTTGTGGGTTTGAGTCCCATGTCAGGCTCCTTGCTGAAAGCTCAGAAGTAGCTGACAGCTACTTCAGATTCCATGTCTCCTCCTCTCTCTCTGGGCCTCCCCAGCTCATGCGCTCTCTCTCTCACCAAAAAAAACCCAACTTTTTAATTTAAAAAATAAATAAAAGGACTTATGTGATGACTCTGGTGGTACACTATGCATGTTCTATCCTTTATGCACAGCACAGCGGAGGGAAGGGGACCAGGGCTCAGAGATCAACTTACTTGCCTATATTATATAGATGGTCGGCAGAGGAGTCAGGGATAGCCCTCCACCTGTGTGATCAGAAAGCCATACTCACTCCTCTGCATCTCACCAGCACAGAGTGAGACCAGTAGCTTTCACCCAGCTAGCACCTCTGTTTTGTCGCCAAGTGTGGGAACCTACGTCCAGCGGCTGCTTGCTCTAATAGCCCGGACTGTGGCAGTGGACTAAAGAGAAGCCTTGGGACACAGTGGGTGGGGGACACAGCAGGTGGGAGCTGGGAGAGCCGGGACAGGAAGACTGATGAGGCGCACCTCTTCCTTTCCAGGTGGGGCAGCTGCAGCTCTCCCACAACCTCAGCTTGGTGATCCTGGTGCCCCAGAACACGAAATACCATCTTGAAGACCTGGAGCAGGCTCTCAGCCCCACGGTCTTCAAGGCTGTCATGAAAAAGCTGGAGATGACCAAATTCCACCCCACTCTCCTGACGATGCCCCGCATCAAAGTGACAAGCAAGCAAGACATGCTGACGGTCATGGAGAACCTCAGTAAGCTCTGGCAGCTCGGGATTACTCTGAGGCCTTTGGTGGGGGGGGGGGGTCCTTAAAGTGTGTAGCACTCTCTAGAATATTTTATACATCCATAATCTCAGCTTATTCCTCCGTCCTGTGAGTTAGAGGGGAAGATGTTATTATCCCATTGGATCATTGAGGAAATTGAGACACAGTGTTTACATGACTTGCCCAAGGTCCCTTGAACTCATTAGAAATGAGCAAGAACACCAACCCAGGTCTTCATCTTGACTATTTCTACCCTGGTTCAGTGTGTCATAGTCACTGGGACAGGTGGCCAGGATGGGTTATGGATGTTCCTTCCCCAGAGACTTTTCATAACACTCAGCCTACCCCCCATGGTCTATGCAAGAAGCTATCGATATGGGGCACCTGGGTGGCTTAGTCGGTTAAGCGTCCGACTTTCGCTTAGGTCATGATCTCGCGGTTCGTGGGTTCGAGCCCCGTGTCGGGCTCTGTGCTGACTGCCAGCTCAGAGCCTGGAGCCTGTTTCAGAGTCTGTGTCTCCCTCTCTCTCTGACCCTCCCCTGCTCATGCTGTCTCTCTCTCTCTCCTAGAAATAAATAAAAATATTTAAAAAAAAAAAAGAAAAGAAAAAGAAAAAAAAAGAAGCTATCTGGATAATAGAGTCTGGAGGGTTCTGAGTTTAGGGGAGGTAACAGAGATTCTCTTACCTGACTTTTGGCCTCACTTCCTGACCTTTGACCTCATGTCCAGATATATCCTTTCATTTTCTATTCTAGAACCCCCTAATAGGTCAGCTTGTTTCCTAGTATATGACATCATATGACCTCAGTTGATAACACATGACCTCTTTCTGATGTATAACCTCACTTCTAAGGTCCTTGGAAGCAAGGATATCATTTTTCAATTGTTCTTTGGGGTGTGTGGCAAGGCTTCTCACCTCTTCAGAGAAGGTGGTGGTTGGAATGAAGATCTGCCCGCTGATAGAGGATCCAATAAAGTGGACCGGAAGGCACAATATATAATTTGACAAGCGAGGAAAGAGGACCAAGAGAATACTGGGGCTTAGTTCCAACCCAGAGAACTTAGAACAAATGTCTTCAGCAGCTGAGGCTTTCATTCTGATCTCCCTTCCTTCCTTCCTTCCTTCCTTCCTTCCTTCCTTCCTTCCTTCCTTCCTCCCTCCCTTTCTCTCTCTCTCTCTCTCTCTCCCCAATGTGAGGCTTGAACTCACAACCACAGGATCAAGAGTTGCATACTCTACTGACAGAGCCAGCCAGGCATCCCTCCTGCTGGTCTTTGACTCACTGTTTTTCTCTCATTCTGCTCTAGAATTCTTTGACTTTGTTTATGACCTCAACCTGTGTGGGATGACAGAGGACACAGACCTTCAGGTTTCTGCGATGCAGCACCAGACCACGCTGGAGCTGACGGAGTCTGGGGTGGAGGCAGCTGCAGCCACGGCTGTTTCCGTGGCCCGCAATTTGCTAGTCTTCGACGTGCAGCAGCCCTTCCTCTTCCTGATCTGGGACCAGCAGCACAAATTCCCTGTCTTCATGGGTCGGGTGTATGACCCCAGGATCTGAGACCTGCCGGGCACCAGGCCAAGGCAAGCCTACCCCTCAAGCCTCGCCCTTCCAGTGACAGCCCTGCTGCTGCCTACCTGGACTGGCCTCCAGCCACCTCCCGCCTCCTGCCTCCATGTGAAGGGCGCCCTCGGGGTCTACTGAAGGGACCTACTTCTATCGTCTCTTCCCCGTGGCTCCCCAAAACTCTTTTCTGCAGCTTTCTCTGGCTCAAGTTTACCAGACTCTACAAATAAAACCTGGCAGACCATGACTTCCTCTCTTATTTGCCTTTCAGTTTTTGAGGACAAGGGCTACCATGGCCCCTGTATCAGCTAGTATTGCTGGGTAACAAATCATTGCAAGCTTAGTGCCTTAAAATAGCAACCGCTTATTTTTTCACATAGTCTTGGGATTGGTGGAGTGGTCTTACTGATCTGGCTTGACCTGGCTGGCCTGCCCTGGACATGTTCATGTATCTGTAATAGTTGGGAGATGACTGATGTATAATGGATTCCATTGGGTTACCTTGGCTCTCCTCTGCAGGTCTCCCACATCCCTCCAGCAGGCTACCCTGCAGTGGCAGAGTTCCAAGAAAGAGTCCGAAATGAGCAGTCTTTTCCACACCTCCACATCTTTCCACACCTGAGCAAGTCTGCTGGCCAGACCTAGCATGAGAATGGAAAGGCACCTCAAAGTTACAGATGGGGCCATAAATCAGGGGCTCTTAGTAGCCTGCATTTACCACAGTCCCTGTGTCCCTTATCAGCAAACAACAGTGACAATAACAGCAGTCACTAATATCAGGCACTTACACAGGTGATCTGCTCTGAGCTTTGCAGACCTTTAATCCTTGCTACAAGTTGATATAGAGAACTCTGGAAAGATGAAGTCTTGCTCGAAGTCACGCAGTTAGGAAATGGATTTGAAAACATGTTTCTGACGCTGAAAGCTCAGAGCCACTCTCTTCTCTCTCTGTGCCCTTCTGTCTTAAAATCCTGACTTTTCTTAAATATCTAATTATTTGTTCATTGAGTACCTAGGATGTATCAGGCACTATGCTAAGCACTGAAAGTGTAAAGATGACTTAAATTTAGCACCTGCCTTCAAAACCTATAGTTTGATGAGACAAATAGAAAGATACATTTTATTTTTTAGTAGTTTTTTAAAGTTTTATTTATTTCTTTATATTAGTAGTCTGTACACCTAGC